AATTCGCCCGACGACGGAAGTCGATGGCGGAGGATCCGTCGACGACAGTGCGGCCGTCTGTGGACGAAACTATGAAACTCGAATATTCGCGTGGGGAAAATTGAAGGTTGTCAATGTGTTGCTAAGTAGTCTGCTATACTAAATGATTTTCATTTGGAAAATGATATAGGGAAAATTGTAGGTTGCCAATGTGTCGTTAAGTAGTCTCTGCTATAATAAATGATTTTCATTTGGAAAATGATATAAGGAAAATTGAAGGTTGCTAAGGTGTTGCTTAGTAGTCCCTACTATATAAAATGATTTTCATTTGAAAAATCAAACTTTTGCGCAAAGGTTAAAGGAACTTTTAAAAGAACTCTTTATATCTTAGAATCTTGTGTTATGATTAATTAGCTCTGAATATAATGAAGTGATCTATACTTCAGTTTCCGTATCTATATTTCTGTATTTGTAAAGCTTCAAAATTAGTAATTCTTAAGAATCATCTAATTACTTAATAGATAGCTTTACCCGAGAACAAACATTGAAGAAGTTAATTAAACACAACGAAACAGTAGTTCTCCATTCCAAATACAACGTATTCTTTACGAGTTCCCACAAACTCTACTATCGATCAAAAGTTTCTAACCTTCATGAATGCAAAGTGCGTACTAAAGAGATAAATCAAGCAAAACTGTCATTTCAACTTCGACATCCCGATGTCGTATAAATGTTTCTGAAGAGCCGTAAGTGATTGAAGAAATTGGTCTCACCGGAAGCCGTCGTGGCAGCGATCATGGCGGAGACGATGGCGACGACGCCGAGCGCCGATGCAGTCGGCCGCATTCTCCAGCCGGTCATGTCGAGGATCCGCTCGCTCTCAGCCTTCAGGAATCTGCTCCATCTCGTTCATCTTCCCTCTGCGCAGAAACAAGCGGGATTGCCGCGTTAAAGCGTTACGATCGGAAGTTCGATTTCTTTCTCAACTATGATCGATACAACTACTTCGCCATTTACCTTATCTACGATTTATGTCTCCGTTATGATAGATACAACTACTTTGCCGTTTACCTTATGCACGATTTATATTTCGACTATGATCGATACAACTGTGTACCTTGTCATTCACCTTTGACACCTTAAGCGCCATGAAAATTTTAACCGCTTTCCCGTAGAGTTACTCTTCCGTGAAAATTTTCCAGAAAAATTTGACAATCCTTGCATGACGTTATAATCTAGTCACGTCACAAAACATTTTCAGTGGACATTAATTTATTTTTCAAATAATTCAGGGGCGTCGGTCATCGGTGACTGACATGGCGCTTAACACTAGAACTACCGAGCATACGATTAATATACAATTCCTATAAAAATTGTAACAATAGATTATTTTCAGTTTCTTCAGGCATTCATTATACTACTCAAATGAAACTATTTTCAAAATCATTTCGAATATTCAATGCTTCGAAGATATCAATAATTGCTAAACAAAAAATCGAAACCAGTCATTTTCACTGGTACGGTAGTTCTAGTGTTAAAATGTTAAGTATCTAAGTCGAAGGATTAGAGATTGAAGTTAAATTCTTTTGTGGTAAATGATACAAAAATGTATTCGTTTGTTTTTCCTTGTTAAATGTCTCTGTATAGCAATAGTATTAACTATATAACAGAAATTTCACTGATTTCTAAATTCACGGTGTTTTATGTAGAATTCCGAGACCACTCGTCCATCCTCGAAGGTTAAGAATTAATTAGAGAAAGATTCCAGCATATGTTATGCCTATGTTTGCTCTAAACTAAACATATGCGAGAATCTGTCTCTTTGATTAGTTTAGAGCAATCATCGATGACAGTAGAATAATGTTTGACGTGAATTTAGAAAAGTCGAGCAATGTTTATGCTCGTTAAATCCTGTTTAAACCTTCACCGCGAGTCTGATCCATTGTTACAGGGGGTTAAAGAGGGCCGCCGTCGTAATGTTCACGCGCCAAACTTAGTTTCGACGATTTCAAAGATTTAAGACTTCCCAGCCGCAGTTTCGACGACTACACTCGATAGTCCTCCGTTCCTCGATCGTTCCCGCGGCGATCGCGGCCGATACGAACGCGCGGAACGGTCGAGATTAATTGCCGCGATCGCGGAGTTTGTTTCCGCGGTGGCGTTTACGGCGCGAAAATCACGCAATGGGTTTCTTACGGTTCTTTGGTAAGCGAAGTTTCGACTTTTACATGAACCGGTTTTATCGGCAGTTTAAGAGGAACCGAACTGCGCATTGAAATTGATTCCGATACTTGGGGACTTCTAATGGTGGCAATAAAGCGACAGTGTTAACACGTTAGCTGTCACGGACATTTCGACGGTTTTACGTGACACTTGTTCTTTGGCAATGATGAATAATCAATGCAAATAAGATTAATTTCACAATTAAATATTTTTATCGAACGTAATTGTTTTCGATCAATTCTAAAGCGTTGGTTATCAGTGATCATCGCAATCAATCTGTTCATTGACGTTGATAAGCAGGTTCTTAGAGTTTTATTTATTATTTCATTTAATACATTTGTTTAACTCATGTCTGTTCCACTGATACTGAAACGATCATCTTGTTTGTACCTTGAATATAAACTCTGCTTAATGTGTTTCCTGTGCACTGTTCGAAATTGACATTTCCAGAGGATGCTAAGATTAGATTGAATGTTATTGATATGACAGTGTAAGGTAAAATGTCCAGATGGAGCTCGCGCGTGTAATTCGCGGGAAACGGTCAATCAGGATTTGTCAAGCGTGATTGACAAGCATACTCGATCACACGCTTACCGTGTCAGCTGAAGGGAAACTGTTATAAACGCTATAGAAGCCTCAGAATGGATGAGGGTGACCTTAAAATTACAACCAACACCAACGTCAACAAGTGAACTTATATATTCAGGTGAAAATATATAGACTAATCATTCATCTGATAAATCGCAAGATTAGATTTTAGTTTACCAACAAGAATCACTAAACACACCATGTTAACGCATTGAACGTCGGCTAAATTTCAGCTACTAACAACGCATGTTTAAACATCGATCGAACCAAAATTTCTAACTTACGGAAGAGAATAAGGAATTCGATTGTGTAAATTTTACTTTGGATTCGTGTTATACATATTTAAAATGTTACATGAACGTAGGATTAGCGATTAAACGATAGACTAAAAATAACGTGTTAACATTTCTTCCCAAAAACAAAGTTTCAACACCAACAACCAACGATAAACCCGAATTCTCGCTGAAATCAACGACTGTCAACGTACATTCAATCATCGGATCAAAATATTCCAATTACCCCTCGGTAATTTAAAAGAAACGCTGATCTACAACATTCTAATTCTCATCGGCGACGAAAGATCCGGTTAATCGCGGTTAAATGAAAATCTGCAAAAAAGTCGATCGAGAGGCAGCCTCCGTTTTCCCATTAAATTGAAATGACCGTGGTGTTCCATCGATTAACGAAGGGAACGCCGATCGAAACAGTTTAATTAAAAACCGATTCGAGGCTCGGCGCAAGACAGGTGAACGTGTTCGCGCGGAAACCCGCGGGGAATCGGATGTTCTCGAAAGCGATTGGGAATAAAGTCGACCCACTTATGCGACGCTCATCGATCGCGGCGCGGCGCGGCGCGGAGCGGCGCGTATGAGCGAATTTTTCTCGCCCGGCGAGCCGATTTAGAAAACCGCGCGGTTCGTCTCTTTATACACGGCAGAATGTTAATTAAATTCCGCGGTCGTTCCGCGTTT